CAACGTCCCCTTCCAGCTCCAGTGCTACCTGCAGCCCGTAAAGTGCAGGAAGGAGAGCGCTCTTCATCACCACCTCATCTAACAATAAGCACTTGGTTCAGGGGATCGGATTAACCCTCTGGAGTGGTGTAGCTAAACCGAGGGAGGAGGAAAAGAGATTTAAATAAATTATAAATATAAAAGATGGCCTTTGCACAGAGCTCAGCAAAGCAGAAAGGTCTGTGACTCCATGTTCTCGGTGGGACCTGCATGTCCCACAGCCCACCGGGTACTTGTGTCCAAGTAACCCCGCAGCCAGGGAAACATACAGCTAGTTCTGCACTTTTTCTCAGGGTTTTTCAAATTCTCTTGCTCAAGGCTGTCTCTCAAGTCAATGCAAACTGCATTGTGACCACAGGACTGATTTTGACCTGCTGAGGTTTTGATCTCCCTCCAGCACTGTGGCTGTGCCCCTGGGGACAGCTGGAGCCCAAGGCTATTAGACACCTTAATTGAGGCTACTCAATGCCCATCTGCCTTCCAGTGGGATAATGCACCAGGATCAATGGTGCCTTGGGAGCTGAGGTGTCCCTAGGGTGGTGGATCAAGGGTGTGGTTGTCTGGTCTCAACATGATGCTGTCTTGTACCTCCCTGCTTCAGTTTCTCTCTCTGGGTGAAGGTGGTATTTGGTGAGTTTCTCTCAGCTGTCTATAGGGCCGAAATTACTGATGCAAAGCGTTTTCACCCTATGTGAGCATGGGGGTTCGTAGTATAACTCTGGCAGGGAGCAGTAAGGCTGCTGTGAACCACCCTATGTGAGCATGGGGGTTCGTAGCATAACTCTGGCAGGGACTCTCTCATGCAAGACCCTAGGTGAATTAGCCCATCTGGCTGTGCCTCAGTTTCCATTTCATTGATCAGGGGCATTGGGCGATTTTTGTAGCCTGCAAATAAATAGTTTGGGAATTATGGGGCTCAGGGAGATGCCAGTACGCAAAGGCTGAGCATTCTGGGCAGCCCTGGTCTGACACTCACCTCGTTGGCTGATCAGAAGGACAGGAACCAACTCCAAACCTCACTCACACCTTTACACCTTACAGCTAATGAAGCTGGGAATCGGGATCCTGTTCCTCTGAGTTGTCCCCAGTACTTGGAAATAGAGAACAAACAACAGGCAAATACTTTTCAGCAGAAAAAAATATTTTATTTTGGTTTACTGTATCTGTCCTCCCTTGAAACTCTTGAACCAGCTTCTCACTGGTTTAAATCATTACCGTTACACTGAAGTCAAAGGAGACACTGATTTACACCAGCTAAAAATCCTAACACCATTCTTTAAGTACCTCCCGTGAACCCATTTGCTTCCTCCAAGCATGCAACTTGCCAAGTTCTTTATAAACATAGCTTTGATCTTTACTTCCTGCTGTATTATATGTATAATATAAACAGCAAAAGTTCATCTATTTTATGACTATAAAATACGCTGCTTTTGATTTCACCCCCCTTTTATTAATTGCAATTTCCTATTTGAATCTGAGAACCATTCAATGCTGCCTAGAAAGAGAACAGACATTTCTGCAAGGAGTAATCCCTGATTTTATAGCTCAGGAGACAGGTCTGAAACTCAGAGAAATCGGCAAAAAGTTCACCAAAAAGCTACAAATTGAAACATGCTGAGGCAAATTCTCTTTGAAAAGAAGATTGTAAATGGTTAGGTAGAATGGCTTTTTTACTTGCTTGTTAGACAAAATTCCATGAAATAATTTGGGGGCAACTGGAAATGATATTGATAGGCATTTTAAATGAAAATTAAACACCAGTGAGAAACAAAAATCACTTTAGATTGAAGTGAAACATATTGTTTAAATTTAAGAAAACGATGAATGGAAGTTTATTAAAAAAATGAGTACTCAGATACATTTCAAAATGACCTGTCACATTAAAATGAAATGAGTAAGTGATCTATTATCTTCTGAAAATATCGAACTGTTTTGGCTGTTGTTTTTTCTTTTTTCTATTTGACATGAATTTGCAAGAAGTTGCCATTGAGTGACTTACAGTTTTGGCTGACTGTTGTCTGATTATACTTTTAAGGGATAAGCAAATTTGTCAACTGAAAAAAGACTCCCAGCTCTACTTAGCATGGACTTAGCAATCAGAAACCTCTGTATCAACCCTGTCATCAGTGTCTGCATGAGTCTGCATGTATCTTTGCATCTTTCTCCCGAATAGTTTCTGTCTTAGTTAAAAAGGAGTAATATTTATCCCACTAGTGTTGAGAAGCTGAAATAACCAATAATGTTAAATAACAGAACCTATGGATGTGCTGACTGTTGTCAGCCATTTCTTCGTGCTTGGATAATCTACAAAGATTCTTCTTTAAATCAGATCAAACTCCTCAATACCTCCACAGCCGATTTATCAGCTGAGTAATTTAGCTCGCCTGGGTTTGTGATACATGTCCCCAAGCACAGGATGCCATCACCAGGAGTTTTAACACAATTAACAGTCTGCATGGCTAATGAGACTCTTTAAGCAGCTGGTTGTTCAACAAGAGATGAAATCCTAATTACCCACACAACTCTTGTGTGGGTTGTATCTCTTGCCGGGTGTGCAGTAGAGCTCTACTGAGCTGCTTTGTCTGGGGATCCTGGCTGGTGGTGGTGTGATTTATGCCAGGGTGCCTCTTCCCTTAGTAAAGACCTGTCAAGAGAACGTAACTGGGGGCTTCTCAGAGATGCGGGCCAGGAGTTTAAGGGTGTTTTGTAGGACAGGTTTCGTCTCCCTTTGGTTGTCTCAGACATCTGTGCCTTCATCTCAGCTAGTCATAGCATCGTGGAGATGCCAGTTGGAAGGGACCGGGACCTCTGAAGGTCCAACTCCCTCTCTAAGCAATGTTTACACCAATACCAGACCAGTCAGGCGTATTCACTCAAAGCTCTCTTTATCTTTCCAAGGGGAGTGCCTGAAGGTGTGACTCAGCCGGCCTACTTTGGGCATGAATCGTGGTGTCAATCTGCCTCTTCCCCTCCCTTGACTAGCCTTTGCCTTGACTCTCCCTTGCAGCCAGGGGCAACTAACCAGCTGGTGGTGTCTGCACTGCAGGTATTAACAGAGAGGTGGAATGTATCCTAGTCTGGATGGTTTTAAGTCTAATGGAAACAAGATGCCCAGGAGAGGGAAAGCTCAATCCAGTGTTGGTACAAGTTGTGATTAGACACTGGATAATCGGCATAGAAGTTCTTTCTTAAGACACACAACCTTAGGGGCTTCGCTGGCTCTTCTGTTAATGGAAAACCCTGCTAAAAGTTAGGTACTGGATTTGTCCTTGCATTAAGGCATCTATGCAATGGGCCAAGGAACCAGAACCCCCTATAAAACACCTATAGATAGTTACCTCCTTTCTCAAACCTGACCCAGTAGGAATTAAGTAAGAATAGGAGGAGGGATGGAGCCCTGCTCCCCATCCACTCTTCAGTGGATGGGGAGCATGCAAAGACAGTGTGGGACCCCAAATGGGAACATCTCAGGAGTGGAGGTAAAGACCTTCTCCATCACCACCCCAGAAGTATTCATGAGGAAACAACCGTCCCTTGGGATCAAGAATGCACTACCCAGTATCCAGGATGGCAATTTACACTCCCAAACATGGGAGCCCACCACTTGTTAAAAAACAAGGGCCCTTGTTTTTTAAGAAGCATAGTCTCATCTCAGTGGTGGGCTCCCATGTTTGTTATTCTTTGGATTTGGTTAGAAATCAAGCCTGGTGTGAGAAAGGCAGAAGAGCACCCATAGTTAGTACCACACAAGTGTGAGGGCCACAACCTAAGGCTCCCTTCACCCTGTCGCTGCATGAGAAACAGGTTACCCAGACAAGGAATGACTTGAGAGATCCCTCAGCATGAGCAAAGCCCTCCATATTCATGGTCTTATGTTTGCCTTGGAGTGGTGACTTGCCTGTCTTTGCAGTGGAAGTTGGTACTCATTTCCAGGTATGATTCAAGAGAAGAATGTACTGGCTTTTTTACCTGCGTCCTGAAGGAAAGGCATCTGCTACACAAACCAGCCTCAGAAAGGTCTCCTTCAA